AGACCCATAGAGATACATAGAGATACATAGAGATACATAGAGATGCATAGAGACGTATAGAGACCCATAGACATCCATTAAAGACACAGCCACAGCTATGGACGTCACAGTGAACTCACAGAGACTCAGTGAGATACATAGAGACCCATAGAGACGTATAGAGACCCATAGAGATCCATTAAAGACACAGCCACAGCTATGAACGTCACAGTGAACCCACAGAGACTCAGTGAGATACATAGAGACTCATAGAGACGCATAGAGATACATAGAGATCCATTAAAGACAGCCACAGCTATGGACGTCACAGTGAACCCACAGAGACTCAGTGAGATACATAGAGACTCATAAAGACGCATAGAGATACATAGAGATCCATTAAAGACACAGCCACAGCTATGGACGTCACAGTAGACCCACAGAGACTCAGTGAGATACATAGAGACTCATAGAGACGCATAGAGATACATAGAGATCCATTAAAGACAGCCACAGCTATGGACGTCACAGTGAACCTACAGAGACTCAGTGAGATACATAGAGACCCATAGAGATACATAGAGACCCATAGAGACCCATAGAGATCCATTAAAGACACAGCCACAGCTATGGACGGCACAGTGAACCCACAGAGACTCATTGAGATACATAGAGACTCATAGAGATACATAGAGACGTATAGAGACCCATAGAGATCCATTAAAGACAGCCACAGCTATGGACGTCACAGTGAACCCACAGAGACTCAGTGAGATACATAGAGACGTATAGAGACCCATAGAGATCCATTAAAGACACAGCCACAGCTATGGACGTCACAGTGAACCCACAGAGACTCAGTGAGATACATAGAGACGTATAGAGACCCATAGAGATCCATTAAAGACAGCCACAGCTATGGACGTCACAGTGAACCCACAGAGACTCAGTGAGATACATAGAGACTCATAGAGATACATAGAGACCCATAGAGATCCATTAAAGACACAGCCACAGCTATGGACGTCAGTGAACCCACAGAGACTCAGTGAGATACATAGAGACCCATAGAGATACATAGAGATACATAGAGATACATAGAGATGCATAGAGACGTATAGAGACCCATAGAGATCCATTAAAGACACAGCCACAGCTATGGACGTCACAGTGAACCCACAGAGACTCAGTGAGATACATAGAGACCCATAGAGACGTATAGAGACCCATAGAGATCCATTAAAGACACAGCCACAGCTATGGACGTCACAGTGAACCCACAGAGACTCAGTGAGATACATAGAGACTCATAGAGACGCATAGAGATACATAGAGATCCATTAAAGACAGCCACAGCTATGGACGTCACAGTGAACCCACAGAGACTCAGTGAGATACATAGAGACTCATAGAGACGCATAGAGATACATAGAGATCCATTAAAGACAGCCACAGCTATGGACGTCACAGTGAACCCACAGAGACTCAGTGAGATACATAGAGACCCATAGAGACGTATAGAGACCCATAGAGATCCATTAAAGACACAGCCACAGCTATGGACGTCACAGTGAACCCACAGCGACTCAGTGAGATACATAGAGACTCATAGAGACGCATAGAGATACATAGAGATCCATTAAAGACAGCCACAGCTATGGACGTCACAGTGAACCCACAGAGACTCAGTGAGATACATAGAGACTCATAGAGACGCATAGAGATACATAGAGATCCATTAAAGACACAGCCACAGCTATGGACGTCACAGTGAACCCACAGAGACTCAGTGAGATACATAGAGACTCATAGAGACGCATAGAGATACATAGAGATCCATTAAAGACAGCCACAGCTATGGACGTCACAGTGAACCCACAGAGACTCAGTGAGATACATAGAGACCCATAGAGATGCATAGAGACGTATAGAGACCCATAGAGATCCATTAAAGACACAGCCACAGCTATGGACGTCACAGTGAACCCACAGAGACTCATAGAGATACATAGAGACCCATAGAGATCCATTAAAGACACAGCCACAGCTATGGACGTCACAGTGAACCCACAGAGACTCAGTGAGATACATAGAGACTCATAGAGACCCATAGAGATACATAGAGATACATAGAGATCCATTAAAGACAGCCACAGCTATGGACGTCACAGTGAACCCACAGAGACTCAGTGAGATACATAGAGACTCATAGAGACCCATAGAGATACATAGAGATACATAGAGATCCATTAAAGACACAGCCACAGCTATGGACGTCACAGTGAACCCACAGAGACTCAGTGAGATACATAGAGACGTATAGAGACCCATAGAGATCCATTAAAGACACAGCCACAGCTATGGACGTCACAGTGAACCCACAGAGACTCAGTGAGATACATAGAGACTCATAGAGATACATAGAGACCCATAGAGATCCATTAAAGACAGCCACAGCTATGGACGTCAGTGAACCCACAGAGACTCAGTGAGATACATAGAGACCCATAGAGATACATAGAGATACATAGAGATGCATAGAGACGTATAGAGACCCATAGAGATCCATTAAAGACACAGCCACAGCTATGGACGTCACAGTGAACCCACAGAGACTCAGTGAGATACATAGAGACCCATAGAGACGTATAGAGACCCATAGAGATCCATTAAAGACACAGCCACAGCTATGGACGTCACAGTGAACCCACAGAGACTCAGTGAGATACATAGAGACTCATAGAGACGCATAGAGATACATAGAGATCCATTAAAGACAGCCACAGCTATGGACGTCACAGTGAACCCACAGAGACTCAGTGAGATACATAGAGACTCATAGAGACGCATAGAGATACATAGAGATACATTAAAGACAGCCACAGCTATGGACGTCACAGTGAACCCACAGAGACTCAGTGAGATACATAGAGACTCATAGAGACGCATAGAGATACATAGAGATCCATAGAGACCCATAGAGACCCATAGAGATCCATTAAAGACACAGCCACAGCTATGGACGTCAGTGAACCCATGGTGGTCTGCGCTCCTTCGACGGAGGTGGAGCAGCAGTGATACTACGAGCAGCACCTATGAAGGCCGGCACAGCACACGAGGGGTGGGTGGCCAGCACCACGCCCGGCCGCCTTTGTCTCTCTAGTGTCGATGTTTTACACACCGCACCAGGTACTCACTTGAGGCTGAGTCGACCCAGGGGAGGCCCAGGACCGATTCAGATAATCGTCACTGGTGTTGGCCGTGAGCGGGAATCGAACTCGGGTCGCCAGGTTCGTAAAGCTGCCCGCTTAACCGCTGCAACACAACTCCCCAAACACACTGACACAAACAAAGACAAAGATCGCCCGTACAGCCTTCACGGGTTGTTGGGGCAAGTCCTGTTAGATAGCGCCTGTAACACAGACACACACACTAGCTATGTTATGTAAAAACACCTTTACCTACACACACACATCTAAACACAAACACACACATCTGAACACAAACACACACACACACATCGAAACACACACACACACACACATCGAAACACACACACACACATTGAAACACACACACACATATAAACACACACACATATAAAACACACATACATCTAAACACACACATATTTAAACACACACACACACCTAAACACACATATTTACACACACACATCTAAACACACACACACATCTAAACACACACACACACATCTAAACACACACATCTAAACACACACACACACATCTAAACACACACACATCAAGCAGCTTGAGTTTAACCAGCGGAGAACTCAAGAGACCAGGAGAGAGTTTCATTTACAAGAGTGAGTGAGTGGCTGAGTGAGTGAGTGTGTGGGAGGGTAATTGAACGAGTGAGTGAATGAGTGTGTGGGAGTGTAATTGAACGAGTGAGTGAATGAGTGTGTGGGAGGGTAAGTGAATGAGTGTGTGGATGTGTGAATGAGTGTGTGGGTGGGTGTGTGAATGAGTGTGTGGGTGGGTGAGTGAACGAGTGAGTGCATGAGTGTGTGGGAGGGTAAGTGAATGAGTGTGTTGGTGGGTGAGTGAGTGAACGAGTGAGTGAATGAGTGTGTGGGTGGATGAGTGAATGAGTGTGTGGGTGGGTGAGTGGGTGGGTGTGTGAATGAGTGTGTGAGTGGGTGTGTGAGTGGGTGGGTGTGTGAGTGGGTGTGTGAGTGGGTGGGTGTGTGAATGAGTGTGTGAGTGGATGGGTGTGTGAACGAGTGTGTGAGTGGGTGTGTGAATGAGTGTGTGAGTAGGTGGGTGTGTGAACGAGTGTGTGAGTGGGTGTTGTGAGTGGGTGCGTGTGTGAATGAGTGTGAGTGGGTGTGTGAATGAGTGTATGGGTGGGTGAGTGAATGACTGAGTGGGTGAATGAGTGAATGAGTGGGTGAACGAGTGAGTGGGTTCAAGCTGCTTGACTTTAACCAGGGGACAATTCAAGAGGCGACCAGTCCCTTTGGCAAAAGTGCCCTCAGGGCATTTGTCTGCTGCCAGACGAATGCCCTCAGGGTAATGACTGCTGCTGCTGCTGCTGTGTAGAATTCTGATTGCGTAATTCCGGTGGCACACAATGGCCAATCCACAACATCCACAACCTTTGGTGCCAGGCTAGGTACACATATTTTTTGGGTTTTGTTTCAACCTGGTAAATCGTACTTTAGCTGGCATCTAATGGGGCTTTTTTTTTTCTTTTCTCAGAAGAAGCGAGCCTGGCGATGATGGCTCAGCATCGCAGTGGCTGATATCGTCGTCATCGTCATCATCATCGTCGCAGTCGCCGTCACCGCACGTGGGAATTAACAGCGGCAGAAGCCAAACAGTGTGACCGCGTGGCGATTGTCAGTGTGGAGGAGTCCTGGGTCAAGCTGGAGAAGCGATCCACTCTGGGACCACCACGGGGACAGAGACGGAGAGGGCACGCCGACTCCACGTGGACAACGATAGGCATCGCCAGGGTCCGGGATGGAACCCAGGTTTCCCGGGCACACTCACCATCTTGCGTTGGTTGCTCAGGCAGAAGGTGCAGATCGCTCTGGGCGCTGGGTCTCCGTGCCCGTTCAACAGCTGCACTTGGCCGCGTCTGCCATGACAGCAAAAGCCAACTCCACTCTCACCATCATCGTCACCATCATCCTCGTTTCGCTCCTCGTCCTCCCGACCACCACCACCGCCTTGCCCCTGGCCTTGCCCCTTGAGGAGCACGTTGCCCAGGTGCGAGATGTAACTCGAGGCGAGGCGCAGAGTCTCAATCTTGGAGAGTTTCCTGTCGGCGGGCTCGGTCGGGATGAGCGTCCGCAGAGCGGTGAAGGCCGAGTTCACGCTGTGCGTGCGGTCCCTCTCGCGGGCGTTGGCGGCTTGCCGCTGGCGGCTCGCCCCGGGTAGGGGTCGAGCCCGGCGCCTCCTCCTCCTCCTCTGCCTCGAGGCGCCGCCTCCGTCGCCCGAGTCCGCCCCGACAGCCGTGGCGGAGGAAGAGGAGGAGGAGGATGATGAGAGAGACGACGACGATGATGAGAGAGACGACGACGATGATGATGACATCGCTAGTGGCCTCTTCCTGGCCAATTTCACTGCCCTCATATTTGGCGTTGTCGTGGCGGTGGTGGAGGTGTTGGTGGTGGTGTTGGTGTTGGTGGTGGAGGTGTTGTTGGTGGCGGTGGTGGAGGTGTTGTTGGTGTTGGTGGTGGAGGTGTTGTTGGTGTTGGTGGTGGAGGTGTTGTTGGTGTTGGTGGTGTTGTTGGTGGTGGAGGTGTTGGTGGTGGAGATGTTGGTGTTGGTGGTGGTGTTGGTGGTGGTGTTGTTGGTGGAGGTGTTGTTGGTGGTGGAGGTGTTGGTGGTGGAGATGTTGGTGTTGGTGGTGGTGTTGGTGGTGGTGGTGTTGTTGGTGGAGGTGTTGTTGGTGGTGGTGGTGTTGGTGGAGATATTTGTGGTGTCGCTGCAGAGGTCGAGGCCGCCGCTCTCACTGCCACCTTTGTCTCTCTCGGTGTCGGCGGGGTCGGGTGCCCGTTCATCCGAACAGCGAGGCAGCCTGGGCATCGCCACTGCTCTTCTTGAGACCAACAGCGGCCTTGTTCTCGCGCTACAGACTCTCTGTTACCTCGCACTCACGTTGATCCCCGATCTCTCCTCCCTGCGAGACTTCCTATCTGAGGCCCTCTCTCATGTTTACTTTGGTGTTGTTGTTGTGATTGTTGTTGTTGTGGTTGTTGTTGTGGTTGTTGTGGTTGTTGTTGTGGTTGTTGTTGTTCCCCTACGTTCCCGTCTCTCCGTGTTCCCTCTCTTCCCGCTCCCCGTGCTGCTCCGCCTGACACCCGTCGCTCTCTCAGCCAAAGGGACGCATGATTGTCCGTGTGTGTGTCTCCTTGTGTGTGTCTCCGTATGTGTGTGTCTCCGTGTGTGTGTGGCTCCGTGTGTGTGTCTGTGTGTCTCCGTGTGTGTGTCCGTGTGTGTGTCTGTGTGTGTGTGTCTCCGTGTGTGTGTGTGTGTGTCTGTGTGTGTCTCCGGTGTGTGTGTGTCTCCGTGTGTGTGTGTCTGTGTGTGTCTCCGTGTGTGTGTGTCTGTGTGTGTCTCCGTGTGTGTGTGTCCGTGTGTGTGTGTGTCCGTGTGTGTGTGTCTGTGTGTGTGTATCTCCGTGTGTCTGTGTGTCTCCGATGTGTGTGTGTCTCCGTGTGTGTGTGTCTCTGTGTGTGTCTCCGTGTGTGTGTGTCTGTGTGTGTGTGTCTCCGTGTGTGTGTGTCTCCGTGTGTCCGTCTGTCTTTGGCTCGACGTTTAAGGTGGCTGTGTGTTACGCACGTCTCTTGCAGGAGGGTCTGTCTGTCTGTGTCTGTCTGTGTCTGTCTGTCTGTGTCCCTGTGCGTGTCCTGTACTCCCGGACGGTAGTGTCTGTCCCTCTGTCTGTGTCTGTCTGTGTCTGCCTGTGTCCTGTCCCGCGTCAACGTATAGCGGTCTGCAAGGTCGCGTCTCGCCTTCCTGTGTGTGTCCTGCACGGGACCCGCCTGCCGACCCTCTTCAATGTCTCTCTACCAGGTTACTCTTCGCGCCCGTGCCTGCGTGTGTGTGTCTCCGTGTGTGTGTGTCTCCGTGTGTGTGCGTGTGAGATCGTGTGTGAGATCGTGTGTGCGTGTGTGTGTACGTGCGCGTGTATTTTCGTGAGTGGGTGTGAGGCCGGGAGCGGTGGCGCAGCGGTTAGCGCACCCAGCGACCTGAGTTTTTGACTTCGGCTCACGGACCCAAAGTCACTGGCGAATATTCTGAACGAGTTCTGGGCCTCGCCTAGGTCGACTCGGTCTCAAAATAGCGCCTTTGGTGCGGTGAGCATCAAACATCGGCGTCGGGGATACAAAGGCGGCCGGGCGCGACAACCGCGTGAATCTTTGGGTTTTCTGGAGGTTCCGCTCTTGGAGGTTTTCCGTGAGCAGTGAGGTGAGCGAGCAGTAGCAGGACTGCGCCTTTGGCCTTGGTGAGCCGAGTTCGACTCCCGCTCAACAACGTTGCCAATTAGCAATGCTGGGCCTCCTTCACCTCAAACTGGTACCTGGTGTAGCGGTGTGTTAAAACGTCGCCACTGGGGAGACAAAGGCGGCCGGGCGTGGTGCTGGCCACCCACCCCCTGGTGCGCCGTGCCGTGCCGGCCTTCATCGGTGCTGCTCGCTAAACCGGCACTTGCCCCGGCGGTGTGTTGAGGCTACACGGGGGATCTTTGTCTTTGTGCAGGCTGCGCGTGCCGCGTACTATTCCTGCAGCAGCAGCAGCAACAGCAGCAGCTGTCCAGCCTCAGCCTGGGCAGGCAGCTGTGGTGGTCCAGGCGGGCGGTGTCGGGTTGTTTCAAGCTACACGCGTACAGAGAGAGACACATACAGACACATACACACAGACACATACACACAGACACATACATACAGACACATTGACACATACATACAGACACATACACACTGACACATACATACAGACACATACATACAGACATACACACTGACACATACACACTGACACATACATACAGACACATTGACACATACATACAGACACATTGACACATACATACAGACACATACACACTGACACATACATACAGACACATACACACAGACACATACACACTGACACATACATACAGACACATTGAGACATACATACAGACACATACACACTGCACATACATACAGACACATTGACACATACATACAGACACATACACACTGACACATACACACTGACACATACATACAGACACATTGACACATACACACTGACACATACATACAGACACATACACACTGACACATACACACAGACATACACTGACACATACACACTGACACATACACACAGACACATACACACTGACACCTACATACAGACACATTGACACATACACACAGACATACACTGACACATACACTGACACACACAGACACATATACACTGACACATACATAGAGACACACAGACACATACAGACATACATGCAGGGGTACATACAGACACATACATACAGCCACGTACACACAATGGTACGTACAGATATATACCGACACATACACACGGGTCATACATACAGACACATACACAGTCATACATATACAGACAGGGGTACATACAGATGCATACATACACATACAGGTGTACGTACAGATACATCCAGATAGACACATACACACGAGTGCGTACAGACACATACATACAGGCACATACATACAGACACATACATACAGCCACATACATACAGACACATACACACAGGGGTACATACAGATACATGCGTAGAGACACTATTTAGGAGGCAACAACGTTCATTCTACACTTTTCGCAACACCGTTACACACGGGACTAAATACACCTATTCTCTTGCTACGCATAGGACCACAAGACACCTTTCTCTCTCGCATACGGGATAACTACAATCGGGTCAGAGCAACCAACGTACTGCCTGACCCACAATGTCGAAGACGTAGACGCAGCACGTGGGTTCCACGCCACCTGCAGACAGCCCGGATCTCTGATCGGGGCCTCCCTTTTTATCTCTCTCGGCACGGCCTGGCTCCACCGTCGGCCGCGCCCTACTTGCAGAATATTCCCGACGGTTCCAGGCGACACCGCACCTGTTCCCTCTCTGGCTCCGACCCTTAACCACGCCCCTTTCGGGAACTCTCCAGACGTTTCTCAGGTACTCTTCCCGTGTCCCCTCGTTCACCTTTGGCCCACATTACTCACCCGGCCCATCACGTGCTTAACCCGGTGCCGGGGTGACTCGTCCTCACATGGCCCCTACCACCAGCCGCCCCCCACCGCACCCCTCTGTGGTGATTTCCTGCGGCGCTGGTGGAGGCGGCAATCCCTTGCTCTGTCGGTAAGACTCATCAGGCTTCCTTCTGCTAGCACCCAGTACCCTGCCCCTAGTGGCCCACTGAATGGTACTGCACTGTGTGTTAGCCTCTGCGCCTGTTTCAACGGCACTTGGCGCAACGCGTCATAGTGATCCATTTAACATCACTACACCCCCCCTCCCCCCTTATAAAACTCAGCCGTCCCGGCTGACACTCATAACCTGTACAGCGGGACGAACTACCAGAACACAACACACACCGAAATCTCTGCCCCTGAGCAGTAATAGCGTGGAGCAGTTTTGCGACTGTTGCAAACCTGGGCACAAAGCGACGATAATATGATGCGAACCCCACAAAACTGGGAACTCCACCCACCGACTTGGAGCTTGGCCACGAACGCACATAAGCAGTTTTGTCGGGGTCCGTGGCAATCCCCGCCTCACTCACAATATGCCCCAGGTAACGAACTGACTCTGCAAGAGATGACACTTCGGCGACTTAAATTTCGAATTTTACCACCCGCATTTTAACAAACACTGAGCGCAATCGCTGTAGATGCTCTCGAAACATGCATCCAAAGAGGACGATCATGTCGTCCAAATAAATCAAGCACGACTTCCGCTGGAGTCCCAATAACACCAATTCCATCAGTCGGTGAAAGGTAGCCAGGGCCGAGTGAAGTCCCATCGGCAAACAGTTAAACTGAAAAAGCCCTTGTGGGGTGCGAAATGCTGTTTTGGGCTTTGAGCTTTCGTCCAAGGGCAACTGCCAAAACCCCAACAGCAAAACCAACGTGGAAAAGAATTGCGCGCCTGACAAGGAATCCAATGAATCGTCCATCCGTGGGAGCGGGTAAGCATCCACCACGGAGACCTTGTTTTATTTTCAAAGATCCACGCAAAATCTCAAACTCTCGTCCTTCTTCTTAACCAGAACGATGGGCGCCCCCACGGACTGGTGGATGGAGAAACAATGTCAGCGGCCAACATCTCGTCGACTGCCTGACGCACAAGGTCCTTTTGTTTTTGGGCTAAACCAAAACAAATTTGGTTGGATGTGAGTGGTATTATCAATATGATGATGCATCAAAGACGTGCGTCCCATATCTAATTTACTTTTGCTATAAACGTCAGAGAACTCCTGGAGCAAGACTTGTAATTCGCCGCTCTGCTCACTCGTCAAATCCGGGTTCTTAGCACACGACGAATCCATCCACGACTCGTCCACCGCCGCTCCGCGCTCCACTGAAACCTCAACATTAGCGGCTACTTCTCTGGTCTCTTCACAACACGCAGCCGTCGTGTGAGCCAAAACTATACCCGCCTGCACAACTGCGGTACACACTCCTGTATTCAGATAGATAGATAGATCCT